ATAATAAAATAATAAAGAAGTAAATATATATATATATATATATATATATATATATATATATAAATACCTAATTAAATAAATTGTTAACTTGAAAATGACATAAATCCAATTTAATTAAATTAAATCATATTTAATTAAAATAACTTTTTACGGAATATTGTATCGTATCATGACTGTATTACTTAAATTATAATTGCGTTTTAAAATATAAATTATATTTAATGACAATAAATTTTATTTGCTCACAAAATTAATAATAATGTTAAAACGCTTTTACATTTCGAATGAATGAATTAACTAATAATAACTTGAACAAATTTGTAATTTTAAAACGGAAATTACTAGCGAGACCGTCAATCTTTAGTCTACGTATTAATAGCACTCGTCATCGCAGAATTTTGTTTTATTATATTTTTCGAAGAGAGCACCGTCATCGGGCGTTAAATAAAGAATACGATAAAAGGAATTGTACTCCCTATTGAGGGGGGGGGGGCACAAAGAACAGTGCAGTGCTCAATCAAAAGGACACGAAAACAAAGACCGATGACGTGTGTGTCACATGAGACGGCGAAACCAGCCCACATTGGCCACTTCTTTCACCTGTCCATCACTCCCTGTCCTCTAAAGAGGACGCTTCTGAAAGAGGACATTTGCGTTTCCGCGCTCGTACCAGCTATTGTACGCCTTTATCGGCCGTTTCATGCTCTTCTCCTCATGCTGGCAGTTCGCTTCACTGGCGACCGTGTGATTCGGTCGAAGGGAATGCATATCTGACGTGAGAGTCGAAATAATTGCACGCTGTGTACCTTCGGCCTGTAATCGGTCTTTGCCGCATTATCAACCCGCAGCGGTCCGTTATCGGTATTTTTATTTTCCGTGTGAATGAACAGTCATGAAACATTATAGAACATAAGGTATCCTATTATAAATCCCTTTAATTAAGGTTGATTAATTGCAACGAAAGTGTGTATCTTTCTATCTTTCGATTTACACGATTATTTAATTTATAATGATAGTATATATGATTCTTATACTTAGCCTTATGTGAATGTATATTAAATTTATGTTGTGAATTCATCAATTAATAAATAAAAAATTTCTCTTAGCGTGAAAGATTATATCTATTGGCGAACAAAGTTTTGAAGAATGCCCAAATTTGATACGATGATTAATTTAATGAGAGACGTATGCCAAATAGAGGCCGTTAAAACATAAGAGAAAGAATATAGGAAACTTCCATTGTTGAGTTAATTTCAGCTTCGGTTGCGAGAACCTGTTTGCCACAGGAGGCCATGAAAGGGTCTTGCTACCTACACAGCACATTACCTCCATTCGTATCGGTAACGAGGTCGACTTTACTCCGCAGCACTCTTCCTCCGTGATAGGGGCGGGAGGGAGGGAGGGGGGGGGAGGGTCATAGACGCGCGCGTGGTATTACCGGGACACCCCGTATATAGGGAGGGCGTATTTGTTTTACTGCCTGGCTGCCGGCATTGGTTGAGAACGTGCTCCGCATTCTTGAAATCGTGCCACCCTTGTTACGGCATAGACTCTCTGCCATCATTTCCCTTCGCCCCTTCACCTCGTCATCAAACCTAGCTCTTTTCCTCGTCGCCGCAACCATCATAAGAAAGATCGTCGTCGATCCGCTCCCCTACACCCTCCCTCGCGCGATCGTAAAAAATTCTTAAGTCCTGTAGTAGTCCCTACAACACATAATATGCATATAAGTGCTGTACAAGCTGTATGTATGCTTTACGAGATGTTTTTGAAACCGAGGAAACATCCACCTAAAAATTTAGCGAATGCGTATCACGACATGCGCATAATAAGAAAAATGGAAAAAAAATAATAAGAAAAATATAATAATAAAATTAAAGTACATATATATTCTCTATTATTTTATATTACAAAAATGTTGAAATTATCAAGTTATTCATCATTTGCTATATTATATATAATGACGATAATACATCTAGCTCCTGAAGTAGTACACCTAGGAGATACGTTTTCGCACTTGGCGTTGTAGTCGTTAGTAAGAACGAAAAGGTCGTCGAAACCGCGTCATTAATCTTGCAGTCTTTGCCGCTGTCAGGATCAGCGTTAAAATGGGAAGATAGTCTTCATCTCTTTCTTCGATGAGGCTATAAAAATTTTTAACTCCTGCAATGGACACGAAGTGCTTCTACAAAGGCCATGTAATATTCTTCTCTCGATCTGTGAAGAAAAATTTACCGCGCTGCTACTTTTGCAAAATAATACTTTTGCAAAATAATTTTTGCGATTATCATCAAATCATTGAAAGATATCTTTATTTATCTTGATTATTTATCTTTATATTCTCAACTTAGATACAGTTACATCATCATATAATTTAATCCTTATAATCATCATTATAACAATTTATTATTTATAATTATTAATACGATTACTCCAAAATAATATTTTCTCTTTTCCTTTTAAAATGATTCCGGATACTTTGAAATCCCTTGACAGCTACAAGCAACGTTGCTTCATCTCGTAAAATTGTTATTTTCTTTAATGGTCGGTCGGCTCTCTTCGAGCCATCTCGGTGTCTGATTTTTCGATAACGGCGCATTGTCGTGCAGACACAGTCGTCACACGGCGGACTTAGACTATCTCGGCAAGGCGAGAGAAACGGCAAAGGAAGAGTCCGGCGATTTCTGCCGATCCTAATTTACGGCCGGGATTTCAGGCGTTTATGTCTTTCCGATAAGGTCGTTCACGCAGATGCCAAGTCTGCATCGATGGATCTTCTTCATCCCACGCTCCCACTTCTTCTTATTCCGTCCTCGTCGATTCTCGCGTGTCGCGATAGGACGCGACGAAATGTCAGAGCGGAGTTCGTCTTACGTCTTACGTCTTACGTAGTTCGTCGTTAACGAGAGCGGGTAGGAACGAAGTGTCGATTCGTCAATGGCGCGCGATCGCATCGGACTCGTAAAATTGCCAGCCATTCTTCCAGGATTTTCTGCCAGAAATGATATTGATCGTCGTCCCGTACAGGTCGCGTGGATGTAAGATTTAATCGCTTCTTGAATAATAAAGCGGGATTACTTACTGTCTCAAGAAGACGACGCGAGATCACGCTAGGTGTGCAAAAAATAAAAGTGTCTTTTATCATTCATTGAGAAACTAATATTGTTTACGAGAAGATAATGTCTACGTTATAAATAATCAAAGCATTAATTTGAAGCGAATAAGTATAAGTTAGGAGGAATT